GTCAGCTCTTTTAAAGTAAAACTTAAAACGTTCCTCTTTGATTCTGCCTATAGTTAGGGCTGGCTCAGGTTAGTCCGGACCAGCCCCTAGTTAAGCTGCTATAGGCTTAGAATGCCGGGGGAATTCTTAGGACACACCGAGCTCCTCTCTCACGCTCTCTTTCTACCATAATTCAAGTTTTATTAATGCACATGACTAATTCAGCTTCTTTCCGGGAGTTTTTTTTGTGCTTTCGCCCCTATCAGGTCTCCATAGATCGTGGTTCCTTCGGGACCCTGGTCCTGACACCTACCGTGGCCATGCTGACGCCTGCTGCTGCCATCATCATCATCATCATCATCATTATTTTAGATATTAATCATATTACTTTACTCATAAACCGACATTACCCTCTCCTAAAATCTCTGTGCTCTCCCTCCCCACAGGATTCTGTGGATGGTGGTTCTATCTGATGGTGGTTGCCTCTGCAGTGGTCCTGCTGTGCGCCTGGCTTACTACTCACAATTACTTGAATCATTTCTGTCATAGGAATTGCATGTATTATACATTGTTCATTCTGTACACATGGCATCCATTGTAGTCTGTCCATCCCGGGAGTGGGATCCCTCCTCTGACGTTCTCCCTAAGGTTTCTTCCCTTTTTTTCCCTCTTGTAAGGGTTTTTTTCATTTTTTGGGGAGTTTTTCCTGTGCCGATGGTGGGTTTCGGGGCAGAGGATGTCGTATGTGTACAGACTGTAAAGCCCTCTGAGGCAAATTTGTAATTTGCGATTCTGGGCTATACAAAATAAAATGACTTGACTTGACTTGACTTCTGACTCCTTCCATAGAAAGAAAGAGAACAAAGTGATTGGAAATGTGGAATGAATCTTCATCAAATCAGAAATAAACAACCATCACTCAGCAGATCATCACTGCAGAGACACACATTAAAATCTTCAGTCTCTTCCCATCTCTGCTTTTAATTCATTCATTATATGAAACAGGACATCATAAAGCCTGAATAACAGGAACAACAGGATGAATATGTGATGTTTTATCGTGAAAGAACATTGTGTTTCAGGCGGTCTATTTTCAAGCTACTATGTGGTAAATATGTCTTGTCTACAAGGTTCTCGTGATGTGATGGAAACACAGATATTAATTCACAAAAAGAGGGATGAAGAAGAAGCCGTAAGTATAAAAGATGGCGGCATGTTTAAGTTCTGATGTATGAATCTAACTCTCTGTGTACTTACAGAACTTTGTTGGAGGCTTTGACCACTGGCAGCAGCCTCAGAAGACCCTCCTCTGAAGCAAAGTATTTCTTCAGGTCAAACACCTCCAGATCTTCTCCTGATGACAGTAAGATGAAGACCAGAGCCGACCACTGAGCATGAGACAGTTTCTTTTTGGAGAGGGGTCCTGATCTAAGGGACTGTTGGATCTCCTCCACTAGAGAAACATCATTCAGTTCATTCAGACAGTGGAACAGATTGATGCTTTTCTCTGGAGACACATCCTCACTGACCGTCTTCTTGATGTACTGGACTGTCTCCTGATTGGTCTGTGAGTGACTTCCTGTCTGTGTCAGCAGACCTCGTAGGAGAGTCTGATTGGTCTCCAGGGAAAGACCCAGGAGGAAGCGGAGGAACAAGTCCAGGTGTCCATTAGGACTCTGTAAGGCCTTGTCCACAGCACTCTGGTAGAGACGCATTGGTTCAGGATTGGGTTTAAAGCGTTTAGACTGCCGGGAGGTTGTTTGTTCTTCTGACAGCAGATTGACACCAGAGCTGAAGAAGGTCAGATGGACATGAAGAGCAGCCAGAAACTCCTGAACACTCAGATGGACGAAGCAGAAGACCTTGTCCTGGTACAGTCCTCTCTCCTCTCTGAAGATCTGAGTGAACACTCCTGAGTACACTGAGGCTGCTCTGATATCGATGCCACACTCTGTCAGGTCGGTTTCATAGAAGATCAGGTTGCCTTTCTGCAGCTGATCAAAGGCCAGTTTTCCCAGAGACTCGATCATCTTCCTGCTCTCTGGACTCCAGTGTGGATCCGTCTCAGCTCCTCCATCGTACTTGACCTTCTTGACTTTGGACTGAACAACCAGGAAGTGGATGTACATCTCAGTAAGGGTCTTGGGCAGCTCTCCTCCCTCTCTGGTCTTCAACACGTCCTCCAGAACTGTAGCAGTGATCCAGCAGAAGACTGGGATGTGGCACATGATGTGGAGGCTTCGCGAGGTCTTGATGTGAGAGATGATCCTGCTGGCCTGCTCCTCATCTCTGAACCTCTTCCTGAAGTACTCCTCCTTCTGGGGGTCAGTGAACCCTCTGACCTCTGTCACCATGCCAACACACTCAGGGGGGATCTGATTGGCTGCTGCAGGTCGTGTGGTGATCCAGAGGCGAGCAGAGGGAAGCAGCTTCCCCCTGATGAGGTTTGTGAGGAGCACATCCACTGAGGCCGACTCTGTGACATCAGTCAGGATCTCATTGTTGTGGAAGTCCAGAGGAAGTCGACACTCATCCAGACCGTCAAAGATGAACGCAACCTGGAACTCTTCAAACCTGCAGATTCCTGCTGCTCTGGTTTCACTGAAGAAGTGATGAACAAGTTCCACCAAGCTGAACTTCTTCTCTCTCAGCACATTCAGCTCTCTGAAGGTGAATGGAAATGTGAACTGTATGTCCTGGTGATCTTTGTCTTCAGCCCAGTCCAGAGTGAACTTCTGTGTTAAGACGGTTTTCCCGATGCCAGCCACTCCCATAGTCATCACTGTTCTGATTGGTTCCTCTCCTCCAGCTGAGGCTTTGAGGAGGTCTTCTCGTCTGATGGTTGTTTCTGGTCTGGCTGGTCTCCTGGATGCTGTTTCAATCTGTCTGACCTCATGTTCTTCATTGACCTCTGCAGTCCCTCCCTCTGTGATGTAGAGCTCTGTGTAGATCTCATTCAGTAGGGTTGGGTTTCCTGCTTTAGCGATCCCCTCAAACACACACTGGAACTTCTTCTTCAGGTTGGATTTGAGTTCACGCTGACAAACTGCAGCAAGAAGTTCTGAATGAAGACAACAAAGAAGATCAATGAGTCAAAGAATAGATTTCAACATGTCCTTTCCTCAGAGAATGACTATGAATATATTCTGTCCATCTCTGGAGACATTAGTGAAGGTCTCATGTATCAGCATGGTAAGTCTGTAGAGAAATCCTCTTACTGCTCTGCAGACGCTCAGCCAGCTGCTCCTGCTTCATTCTCCTCAGGAAGTGCACTGAGATCTTCACAACGGCCTCTCTGCTCCTCCTCTGCTCTTCATCCAGCACCTCCTCATCCTCTTTCTCTAAGCATTCTGGGTAATCTGAACTCACAACCTTCTGGATCTTCTTCAGCTCGTTCTTCACAAAAGTGAGGATGTTCTCTTCCAGCAGCTGGAACAGAACATTCTATGAATGACACCAACTACAACATGGAAGCCACCATCAGGTCCATGTTGGACAGACGGACAATCCACTGGTCTACAAAGTGCAGCATGGAGATGATGGTGAACTGAGAGATGTTAAAGTAGTTGTTCATGTACACACCATGAAAATGGAGTCCAGGTGTGTTTGATGCTGCTGGGCAGACGGACCTGTGGGAACCTCTGAGCTCTCCTGGTCCTCTCTGTGGAGGAACATGAACCATCAGCTCACATGGTGTTTGGACCATCAACACCAATACAACATTAGTTAAAGATATTGGCTTCTGTCATGATTGATCATGATGGAAACCAGATGCTGAAGACTGTCGATGATGACGGACAGTTTATTAGTAGAGTGACAGTTAGTCACCAGTTTCATCTGGTTTTAGTTCTTACTGTGGGTCATAAAAACGTGTGCAGACCTCTGCATCTGGTCCAAAGTCCTAGGGAAATACTCCAAACCTCTTTAGTCCGTCCCCTGACCTCTAGAAGTCTCCTTAGATCTTCTGAAACTAGTCTTTGGACCTTTTCACAGAGTCTACTGACGATACTTTGTCCAAACCTCTGCATGGAGTCCAGAGACCACGTCAGCTGGTCCATAGAGCACTGAGTTTATTCTAATCACATGTTCAGTCCCAGTCATCTGTCTCCAGAAACCTGAGGCTGTCTCCAGATGTGACCTCTGCTGATCCTGATGTGGAGGAACTAGCTCACATTGTGTTTACATCTGAGGATGTTTACAGTTTATGATTCACACTTAAACTCACACAGACCAGTTAGATGAAGATAACGAGTTCTGTCATGATGAATCGTCATGGAAACAGCACTTTAAACAATGAAAAAACATTTATGTAATTCATGGCTGAGGATCAGAACAGTTCTTCATCTGTTTAAGAACTTACTCTGTGTCATAAGAACGGCGTCCATCGTTGAAATTAATCCAATGACCTTTAGACCGATCACTCTTCATGGACAAACATCTGGGTTCAGGAGACATTCCTCTCTGCTGATGTGAACTGAAAGAAACACTGAGATTACATCATCACGTCATCATCTAATCATGAAGCATCAGCTCACATGGTGTCCGTCCTCACAGAGACCAAAACAAGGTAAAGGTCCATGACGTGAGGTCTGGATGTGGACCACATGACTCCCTGTAGTGGTCTAGGTCTACTGGTCCTGCTGGTCCCACTGAGAATCAACAGCTCAGTCTTTCAGCTCACTGTTTTCTTCACCAGTCAGTTTGGTTTAGTCCCACCAGGTCTCACCAAGTCCTCCATGGAGCTCTCCCTCCCTCACTGGACACTGCTGAAGGGCCCTGGAGCAAGAAACCCAGAACCTCCACCAGAGAGTCTGGTAGAAACACCTCATCAACAGCCTGAGACCCTCACCTTGCATCAACAGAGGGATCTTTGAAGTTCAGAGGAGGATCCATAAACCAGTTACTCTTCATGGACACACAGCTGGGTTCAGGTTCAGGTCCAGGTCTCTGATGGATCCTGGTCACACACACACACACAGAAGCAGAGTCATTGAGTCAGAGACGTTGGGACATAGTGTGATGGCCCAGCCGACGAGCAGTGCCCCACATGGCGAGAAACGGCCAGGAGAGGGGCACCAAGAGGCATGGTAGTGGAAGGGCGATACTATCCCAGGTGCTATCAATCTCGCAGGCAATCAGGAGCCTGTTTTAAACCTCCCTCCCAGGAGACACCGGGGAGAAGGAAGCAAGCGGAACGCAAGGAGAGGGAGACCCAGGGATATTGCACGGCGGAGGAAACTAACCCTTTGTATTCTCTCTCCTGCACCAGGAGGAATCCGCAGAAGCTCGGACGTCCCTGGCCACCCCGGTGAAGAACTTTTGAGTTATCGTTTTCTCACATTTATTTTGTTAATAATAAACCTTGGTTAAATTCCACCGTAACCCTGCGTGTCGTCCGCCTCTCTTCTCCCCGGAGACCCCGTGGCATACCCCGTGAGGTCGGGCGCCCACATATGGTGGAGGATGCAGGCATGTCGATTCGTCGCGACCAGTGGATGTACGGAGCTTGAGTAGAGCACATCGATGGAAGGGATTTTGGAAGCCGTTCTGACCTCGCAAGCCAACCTGCAGGCAGCAGTAGTAGAGCTGTGTCGAGCAACAGGAAGACCGAAAGAGCGGATGCCAAAAGAGGTGCTGACTAAGCTGACGGCCGATGATGACGTCGAGACCTATATTGCCCTATTTGAACGGGCCGCAACGAGAGAGAAATGGCCAAGAACCGAGTGGGCAAACAACCTTATGCCTTTTTTGACCGGCGAAGCTCAGAAAGCCTGTCGAGACCTTTCGGCGGCAGACGCCGTGGATTACGATAAGGTAAAGACTGTAATCCTAGCTCAATATGGACTTAGTCTCCCCGCCAAGGCACAGCGAGTGCATGACTGGAGCTACGATCCCGCTCTCCCTGTCCGGGCACAGGTGATGGGGCTAGTCCGTCATACCAGGAGCTGGCTGGAAGAAGCAGAAGGGCCGCCCCTAGTGGATAGAGTGGTGATTGACCGGTGCGTACGAAGCCTACCCATCGACACCAAAAGGTATGTCGCCCAGCAGGGGCCTCTCAGTGTGGACACCTTAATAGCCTTGTTAGAAAATCACCGAGTGATGGCTAGTCTGATACGGTCAGAAAACCACAAACCTAACAACCCTAGAGCCAAGGCAGAGAGAGAAATGGTAGGAAAAGCTGTCAGTCTCCCACCACTCCGACCACCCTCTGGATGGACCGGGACGGCGACAAGACGACCCCAGTGGCCTCCTTTAACCCTGCGATGTTTTTCTTGTGGCAGAGAGGGCCACCTAGCCAGGGAGTGTCCGGATCGGGATGAACCAATGCCGACAGCCGGATCCACTGATAGCAAAGGCCTCCCCTGCCACCACCTCACCACCTGTTGGGCCCATGAGGGAGCCCCGGCCCCAAAGTTTCCAGTGAAGATCGCTGGGAAAGATACAGAGGCACTCTTAGACTCCGGAAGTATGGTCTCACTCGTCCAACCGCAATTCGCCAGTGCGCCCTGGGGTGACGAGGTGGCGGTGTCATGCATCCATGGGGACACCCGCAAATATCCAACCTCCAAAATCAATGTGATCACTCCTGGAGGACGCTTCACTCTGCAGGTGGGGGTCGTCGAGCAGCTACCGGTCCCCGTGCTTTTCGGCCGAGACAGCCCGCTGTTCTCCCGATACTGGCCAGCGGAGGCGAGGAACCCGAGACGGAGAACAAGAAAACAACCGGTGAAGAGAGAAAGACCCGCCGCGGCTCGCCCCGCCTGGGCGGTGGTATCCCCCGATGGCAGCCCGGCAGCCTCCAGTGAGGACGAGGGGGGGGCTGTCCACAACCAAACCACAGCGACTGACCCCGAACGGGCAGCGGAGGTGCAGCCCCTGGAAGACATACAATCAGACGAGGTATTCTCTCAATTTCCGGAGGTTGAGGGAGAAGAGGAGCCCAGGTCAGGACAATTCGGCTCAGCCCAGCTGCGGGATCCCAACCTGACCCAAGCCTGGAGAGACGTCCAAGTGATTGAGGGTCAAAGGCAGGCTGGGGTGAGTCAATTGTCATTTCCACATTTCATGATTAAGGATAAGCTGTTATACCGGGTAACCAAAAAGAACTCTGAGATCCATGAACAGTTGATTGTCCCCAAAAACTATGTCTCTAAAGTTTTGTATCTAGCCCACTCACACTTACTAGGGGCACATTTAGGGAGGGAGAAGACTTATGACCGTGTTCTCGGACGCTTCTACTGGCCGGGAGTCAAGAGGGCCGTGGAGGAGTACTGCCGACATTGTGCCGAATGTCAACTCAACTCCCCAAAGGTGACGTACCGAAACCCTCTCGTACCCCTTCCCATTATCGAGACCCCTTTTAGCAGGATTGGCATGGACATAGTGGGGCCCCTACCAAAGTCTAGCCGTGGACATCGCTACATCTTGGTTATACTAGACTACGCAACTAGATACCCGGAGGCAATTCCTCTACGGTCCGCTACGGGGAAAGTGGTCGCCAGAGAGATGTTCCTACTCTTCAGTAGAGTTGGCCTACCGGAGGAAATGCTGACCGACCAGGGGTCCTGCTTCATGTCCCAAGTAATGAAACGCCTATGCCAAAGTCTGAAGGTGAAACAAATCAGAACCTCTGTCTATCACCCTCAGACCGATGGACTGGTAGAAAGGTTCAACAAAACTCTAAAGCACATGCTGCGTAAGGTGATCGAGGTCGATGGTAGAAACTGGGACCAACTGCTGCCTTACATTCTGTTCTCTATCCGAGAAGTTCCCCAGGGCTCTACTGGATTCTCACCGTTCGAGCTCCTGTACGGTCGGAGACCCCGCGGGTTGCTAGATGTGGCCAAGGAGGCCTGGGAGCAGCAACCATCCACCCAGCGCAGCATCATAGAGCACGTGGAACAGATGCACCACCGGATGACCCAGGTCTGGCCCTTGGTCCGGGAACACATGCAGCAGGCCCAAGCGCAGCAGGCCAAGGTATACAACCGGGGAGCCCAGGTGAGAGAATTCAAACCAGGAGACAAAGTGATGGTATTACTCCCAACGAATGATTGCAAGTTTTTAGCCAAGTGGCATGGACCTTGTGAAATACTGGAACGGGTGGGGACTGTGGATTACCGCGTACGGCAGACAGGCCGTAGGAAAGCCAAACAACTGTACCATGTGAATCTCCTGAAGCCATGGCACGAGCCTCTCCCCATTCCCCCTAATGTCCTCGCAGCTAACCTAACCCCTCAGGACCTCCCGCCAGTGAGACTGAGTGACCAGCTGTCCTCCGGACAGGGACAAGACCTCCGAGAACTGCTCACCAGGAACAGAGACATCTTCTCCGAGGTCCCGGGGCGAACAACAGCCATTACCCATGACATCAGAACAGAGCCAGGCAAGACGGTAAGACTACGACCATACCGAATACCTGAGGCCAGGAGGGAGGCCATCAGAAGCGAGGTGAGGAAAATGCTTGACCTTGGGGTGGTGGAGGAGTCCCACAGCGCCTGGTCCAGTCCTATAGTTCTGGTAGGAAAGCCGGATGGCAGCATTAGGTTCTGCAACGATTATAGGAAGCTAAATGAGATTTCCCTGTTCGACACCTACCCTATGCCCCGGGTAGATGAGCTAGTCGAGAGGCTGGGGCCGGCCCGGTTCATTTCCACACTGGACTTAACCAAAGGGTATTGGCAGGTACCACTCACGCCCCAAGCCAAAGAGAAGACTGCCTTCTCGACACCAGATGGCGCCTTCCAATATAGAGTCCTCCCATTTGGTCTTCATGGGGCCCCGGCAACGTTCCAGAGACTTATGGACAAAGTACTCCGACCACACCAAGCCTACGCAGCGGCATACCTGGACGATATTGTTGTCCATAGCACCTCATGGGAAAAGCATCTGCAGCACCTGGCCGCCGTTTTTCAGGCCTTACGAGAGGCGGGTCTAACAGCCAACCCTGCAAAGTGCTCACTCGCCTTGGAGGAGGCGAATTACCTTGGGTACACCGTTGGACGAGGAAACGTGAAACCCCAAGTGAAGAAGGTGGATGCCATAGCGACCTGGCCCCAACCCCAGACCAAACGTCAGGTGAGGACTTTTCTGGGTCTAGTGGGATACTACAGACAGTTTATTCCTAATTTTGCTTCTTTAGCGGCCCCCCTGCATGAGCTAACAAGCAAAGGCGCATCCAATGGGGTAAAGTGGACCGAACGGACTCAGCTGGCCTTCAATGCCTTGAAGAAAGCCCTATGTGGAGACACCATTCTACACGCCCCCGACTTCGGCAAAAGATTCGTACTGCAGACGGACGCATCAGAGGTAGGCCTTGGGGCAGTCTTGTCCCAAGTACAGAATGGAAGCGAATACCCCATAACCTTTGTCAGCCGCAAACTACTTCCCCATGAGAAGAATTACTCAACCGTGGAAAAGGAGTGTCTCGCCGTCAAATGGGCAGTCGGAAAACTGAGGTACTACTTGTTGGGTCGAGAGTTCATATTGGTTACGGACCATGCCCCATTGAAATGGATGGCCGTCAACAAAGATAAAAACGCCCGAATAACCCGTTGGTTTCTACATCTGCAGGACTTTAAGTTCACAGTGGAGCACAGAGCTGGCAGACTGCACGGGAACGCGGATGCCTTGTCCAGAAGGGACGACTGCCTGTGGACTGCCGCTCCCCACCGTGGTTCGGAGCTGAGGGGGGGGGTATGTGATGGCCCAGCCGACGAGCAGTGCCCCACATGGCGAGAAACGGCCAGGAGAGGGGCACCAAGAGGCATGGTAGTGGAAGGGCGATACTATCCCAGGTGCTATCAATCTCGCAGGCAATCAGGAGCCTGTTTTAAACCTCCCTCCCAGGAGACACAGGGGAGAAGGAAGCAAGCGGAACGCAAGGAGAGGGAGACCCAGGGATATTGCACGGCGGAGGAAACTAACCCTTTGTATTCTCTCTCCTGCACCAGGAGGAATCCGCAGAAGCTCGGACGTCCCTGGCCACCCCGGTGAAGAACTTTTGAGTTATCGTTTTCTCACATTTATTTTGTTAATAATAAACCTTGGTTAAATTCCACCGTAACCCTGCGTGTCGTCCGCCTCTCTTCTCCCCGGAGACCCCGTGGCATACCCCGTGAGGTCGGGCGCCCACAATAGAGACGAGTGGAGGACAGTTGGAGATGGTCCTCTCACCTCTGAGCTTTGGTCTGGCTGTCATGTTCCCCACACAGAGGGGCTTCAGAGGGAGGGACTCCGTCCTCTGGGTCCTCAGCCTGATTCATAGCAGAGTCCACACCTTCACACCTTCACACCAACCTGCTGGCAGAGCTCACACATTATTATCTTCATCAGGACAAACACACAGAGCTCATTCACCTCAACACTAAAACTCTCATGGGACACTTTGTGTTGTTGTCTTGAGACAACGTGTCAAGAGACGTCATTTTAAATTCTAAACCTATAAATGTTGTGTTTCTTTTAACCGCTTTCCTTCGGCAGGAGGCAGCGGCCCATCAGTACGTTATTTATGTTAAATCACTATATAGGCCACTAAAACTCAGCATGCAGAATGACAACAAGAGATATGTATAGTTTTATAATATCAATATTATAAGTGAAGTATAGGTGGAAGGGAACCAAAAGTGTGGTGCAAAGATCAGTCCTGTAAAACCAAACAAAAGGTTGTTTATACTCAAACCATACAACATATTTTATATTAGTAATATTTCTATTATAGACCTTGTATATATATATATATATATACTTTATATATATATATATATATATATATATTATATATAAGGGTGAAAAAGGTGAGAAGGAAAAATTACCCCTCTAGGGAATTGACAACAACTAATAGGGGACAAGTCATTAAATACTCATCATGCAATATATTGCATTGCATATCATGTGTGCTGGTCAAGACAAATGTTTGCGTAGTTTAGAGTGACAAATCGTACCAGCGTACTTTGAACAGGTTGGCAGGTCTGCGTATTGATAGAACGGTGGAGCACTTTATCTTCTGCCTCGTCGGTCCCCTCACCTGACCATCTACTTCCTCAAAAACGCTAGCGTTAGCTACCGGCACTTTAGCTAGCTGGCCAACGTCGCATTAATGACTCAATTCATCAAGCTGTAGCTAACGTTAGCTAAGTCTATGTCAACAAAGCTCCTGGGTAACTTAAGATATAACAGAAAATATTACAATTATTGAAACCATCACTCACCCTGTTCGCATTCACTGAATATCAATACCCCCCTCCCCAAAAAACTCATCGAATCTACACGATTCACGTAGGTCACCTATTTTGGTTTCAAAACAGCGAATTTCGCCAAAAAGTGAGGGATTTTCATTATATATATATAATGTGTAAATATATACATATATATTGCTAGGTATCCATGCGTCCTTGAATAATGCATAACGCGTGCATGAATAATGAAAATAGGATAGTGAAATGATGACTTAAGAAAGTGGAAATTATGAGATAAAAAGTGATAACGAATGATGACTTGGTTTGGTGACTACGGTCACACAGAGTTTAACAACGTCTCACTGAGCAGCTTCCAAACCTGGAAGTGTGAATGTGTGAATATATTTCCAACTTTAGCGAACTGTAAACGTCATATGTTCGATACCCGCTCACTCCTCTCTCATAACAAACAGGGACGTCCGACTTTTAGCGGAGTCTAAATTATCTTTTTTATTATTGGTATTTCTGAGTCCGAAATAAATCAAACTTCTAGTGAGCCCGTTTTTCTTTCAGCAGGAAAAGTAGAAGGCAAAAATGCACCCTAAGAAAAAGATGAAACCTCTCGCTGACCAGAAGACTATTGCATCTGTATGTTCTGCTCCATGTGCCTCTGCACCCTCCCTGACTTTGATCCGCCTCCCGACAGTTCTGCTTAGTATTAAAATATAAACACGCACACTTAAGCCTAGTTTATGCTTCTGCGTTTCAGTTTGTTGTCGGTTCAAGTTTAGACTTCTGGAGAAAGACAAACTTCCTTTTACCTTTTTAAACTCTGTTAAAATGCTCATCCTATAAATGTAGTGTTTTACAAGATGAATGTTATCACTCTTCTTCCAGCAGATGGAGCTGTGCTGTTTCTCCTCTTCAGAGTCCAGAAGTCAGTAAAACACAGACCAGTAAGGTGACCTGTAGCTGTCCTGATGGAAACACTGTGGTTACCATGGTAACATGGGGAAGCTTTCTCCTGATGGGATGCTTCGCTTCACCATGTGATCAGTTAGTAAAAGGTCGACTACAACCTGCTGATCAATGAGAGAAAAACTGAAGACTAAAGAAAACAAACACAGTCAAACACTAAAAAGTGACTAAATGTGTTTAAAGCAGATGAAGAAATGAACATGAAGCTTTGTGGACTTAAAGGAGTGAAGCAGCAGATGAGTCAAAAAGAGCGTCTCTCAGGTGTGTTTCAGGAACAAAGGCCCAGGTGAGCTCTGTGGTCCCTGCTGGGTCCTAGTGCCCCTCCGTCTGCTTTCTTCCCCTCCTCATCAGTAACAGTCCTCACAGACCCCAGATCAGACTGAGCTCCTCTTCTTCATCACAGCGTCATCATTCAGACTAACAGCAGCTTCTCTCTGCCTGCTCACACAGGCGCCATCTTGTTTCCCAGCTTTAAACAATCACACCTTCACGACCATCAATGATGTCA